GCAGTGTGTGTTGTTCCATACACAGTGTGTATTGTTCCATACACAGTGTGTATTGATACTTTATTTAATTTACTGTCTTTATCTGTGTTGGACTTTATTTAATGATGTAATGAAATAAAAGTTTGTAACATTTTATTCAGATTGATCAACATAATAACTTTGTTATATAACTGGATGATTATTGTGTGATATGTGTCAGAGACCAGCCTGAACCATGTTCCTCCTKTAAATCAAGTTTCATTTCCTGCTTCATGAACAATGAACAGTTTACAGCTGAAGAAGAACGACAGCAGGTCTGAATCTAGAACAGAACATTTGTTTACAGCAGAACTGAACAACAACTCAAACTGCTGCTCATTTAAATAACACGTGAGTGTATCTGGTCTCAGTGGGTCCAGTGGACTTCATGGACCACAGTCTCTTTGATCCAGAACCTCAGATCCAGGCTCAGAGCTTCAGAACCAGAACCTCAGATCCAGGCTCAGAGCTTCAGAACCAGAACCTCAGATCCAGGCTCAGAGCTTCAGAACCAGAACCTCAGATCCAGGCTCAGAGCTTCAGAACCAGAACCTCAGATCCAGGCTCAGAGCCTCTTTATTCAACAGAACCAATGAAAACAGAGATGATCCGCGTCACCATAGTTACTGCAGAAGTGGGAGGAGCCTAACACAGGATCTGGTGGGAGGGGTGGAGGGGAAGGGAGGAGCTAAAAGCTCTGATGTCAGTGATGGGCGTGGCCTCTCGCAGCGCTGGCGTCCATGTTGGCAAGAAGGTCAGGTGGCTCACCTGGCCGTATGCTAAGGGGGCGGAGTCACCAGGACTGACAGCACCCTGATCAGAGGGGTCGTTCTCCTCCACCCCGAAGCCCACCACCTGTCAGGAGAACCAGAACCATGAGCTGGTCCAGAGAACAGGACCAGAACCAGAACCGTATGGACTTACGTGCACACTGAGCTTCCTGTTGTCATGTCGGATCTGCCAGAACCAGGAGATCAGATCCTCCTGAGTGAAGACCTTCAGAGCCTCAATCTAAACAGAAACAAGCAGGTCACAACCAGAACCAGCCCGTTGAGTTCACCAGTGAGTCTGGACCAGGACCAGGACCAGGACCAGGACCAGGACCAGGACCGGCTGATATCTGATCCTTTGAGCCAATCAGAGAATCTAACAGAACTCCTCAGAACATTCTGTGGGTCTGGTGTGGGTTCTGAAGAACCAGCAGGATGTGGACTGTGGGTCCAGTCATAACCTGTGACCTGTGGTCAGGTTCTGGGATCAGAACCTGTGTGGATGGGACTTGGACCGGTCCAGACTCAATGAAGGTTAGCAGAACCTGATCACCTCTCTGTCGGGTCTGTCAAAAACGTACTGCCGGGTCACCACCTCCACCCAGTTCCGGTCCACTTCCTGTCCCAGGTGGGTGTCCTCACACTGCTTAAGTCTGATCAGAGCCAGGACCTGGGTCCTGAAGAACTCCTGGCTCTGACCCGACAGACGTTCTCCAAAAGTCAGCAAGAACTCCTCAATCTTAGACTCCACAAAGTCTGAGCTGCAACCAGAACCAGAAACAGGGAGCAAGACCTGAGGTCAACAAGAAACGCCCTGGACTCAAAGAGGACTGGACTCAAAGAGGACTGGACTGGACTCGAAGGGGACTGGACTCAAAGGGGACTGGACTCAAAGAGGACTGGACTCAAAGGGGACTGGACTCAAAGAGGACTAGACTGGACTCAAAGGGGACTGGACTCGAGGAGGACTGGACTCAAAGAGGACTGGACTCGAGGAGGACTGGACTCAAAGAGGACTGGACTCGAAGGGGACTGGACTCAAAGAGGACTGGACTCAAAGAGGACTGGACTCAAAGGGGACTGGAATCAAAGAGGACTGGACTCAAAGGGGACTGGACTGGACTCAAAGGAGACTGGACTCAAAGAGGACTGGACTCGAAGGGGACTGGACTCAAAGAGGACTGG